TACACAAATCTAAAAATTTGTAAGATAACTAAAGAGTAAAACTTCTGTATTCGTGAATACGTTTTGTCGATGAATAAAAAACTTTTCAGCTTTTCAATTCGCCAATAAAATTGGTCGTTTTTATAGAACAAGTATATTGTAACAAAGCCTGCATATCATTTTTCGATTCTCTGTGAAAAGAGTTTCTATTCTTGTTACTTTAAATTGTTATTTGTCAAAAAAATGAAAAGAAAATACGACAAAATAAAAACTCAATCGCGAGGGATCATTGATTTTTCATTGAATTTAGCTTTGAAAGCGTTAGATTCCACGCTGAATCCTTCACTGTTTCCAGTTCTTGAGTCGAATAAGTTTATGCGCGACAGCGGCAAACATATCCTCGTTGACTTTACTTCAACAAAGGTATTTTTTGCTAGGAAACTCGATAATATTTGAACCAAATACACTCGTACAACTAAACTTTGAAAGTCTTGTATTTGAAGGGCAAATTTACCACTTTTTCAGCTTGTTCTCTATTGGCTGGACTCAACACTGAAAACAACACTGCCTTGGATTCCGCCGGGTAAGCACAAAACATGACACACTGGCACTGTTTTTTTTTCGCCAAAAATGGGCTATTTCTATCTAGATATGGGGATTCAAGAAATATTCATAAGATGACTCGGGAATTCCGCAATGAATTTCACTCGGAAAAWCGATATTGTATTCTTGTGAATATCAGACCGGAAACTAGCCAATAAGACCGCGCGTACTACCTAAGTCATATAATAAATCGAGAAAAAACATGAGTTGTCCTGGTTGTAATTCCACTTCCGGCGGCGTTTATTTGAATTTCAAGAACAAATCAATTGGAGCAGGCTATAGGAAAACAAGGGATAAGGGTACAAGATTGTGTAAGTTGTTAATCTATAAAGATTCTCGAGAATATTTGATTTTCCTCCCTTCTCAGACTCTTGCAGTAGCATCCGCATCCTACATTGTTTACCATGCAGATATCACCCATATTCAATCGCAAATAATTTGTTAACTACACGCTCAAAAAGAACTCTAATCATCACAAATATACATAGTTTTGAATGCTCTAAAAGGATATGATTTATGTTATATTTCAGTACGATTATAAATAATTAATATCCGAGACAAGGTCTTTTGTGAAAACGAAAAATCGATGTTGTTTCTTACCTTGTCGTTCAGTCAGAATCAGCGTCGCGGTCCAATTGCATTAAATAGTTGATATCCTAAAATAAGGATTTCGTA